CTTGTGGTTAGCAGTCTAGTGCTTATCCTACAGCACCATTCTTTCACAATGTTGTTGTTAAGTGCTGTCGAGTCGGTTCTGACCCATAGCAACCTTGTATAGGGCTTTTGAGGAAACGCCAATTTTGTGGTTCAAAAGACTGCAGTCCAGCACATTAACCCACAGGACCACACCAGAAAACAGACATTACAGAAGTAGATTCCCAATCTTTTACGACTGTTGTTTGGTGCTGTCAAGTTGGTTCACACTCATAGCAACCCTATACAGGGTTTCCAAGGAGCTTGGTTGGCTTGAACCACCAACCTTGTGGTTAGCAGTCCAGTATTTATCTACAGTGCCACATAGAATTCCTACTGAGACTAGTGTTTCTCAAATATTAATGTACCTGTATTGTCTGAGAAGTAACTAAAAATGTCAGTTCCTGGGACCCCAAAGATAATCATTCAGCAAGTTGTTTTGACACAAAGTGATTTTGATACTGATGGTGCCCAGAACACACATGGAAAATCAGTCCAATGATCTTGCCAGAGATGCTCTGGCAAGTCTGTGAACTAAAATCACAGCAGTGGAAAGAAGAGAATGCACAACAAGGTGCTTTTAACACAATCATCCCTGGCCCATCCACAATCTCACTGTCTTTTCTCATCTGAGTTCTTAAACTCTGCAGCCAATTAAAAACACGTTACACTTTTCAGAAAACCGTATCTTTTAAATTTTATTTAAGCCTCTCAACCCCCAGGTGAAGTAGAACACACATTTTATAGAGGAATAATTAACTGTCTAACAGTCGCTAATTGCCATATGCCTGGCCATGTAAGGTAATAACCCCAGTCCTTATTACTTTGAGTTTTGTTTCTGTTTTTTTTTTGTTTTTTTTTAATTTAAAGAGTGCCAGGTTCTTCAAATCATAAATGCTGCCACCAGGATCCATCTTCTTCATTCTGGTCATTTCGGGTGGACTTAATGATTAGGGATGGATTGCTAACTCCCACAGCCTCCAACAGTTTCTGGGCTTCCTTATCAAATGTCTTTTTGGACAATCTGAGAAAACAAGGGGAAATCTTTTCTTGCGTTTTATTTCCCAACAGCCCTCTATTCTCTCTGTGGAGAATTTCAGAGAAAAACAAAACCAAAAACTACTGTGATAAAGTTGGTTGTTAAGTGCCGTTGAGTCGGTTCCAACTCATAGTGATCCTGTATAGAGTTTCTGAGGCTTTAAATCTTAACAGGACTACAAAGCCTCATCCTTCTCCCATGGAACGGCTGGCAGGCCAGAACTGCAGACCTTGTGGTTCACAGTCCAGTTTTTATCATATGGAGCCCCCATGTTTGCCATGCTAAGTAGAGAGGTAACATTAACATGGCTGGGGCATGGGGAAGGGAATTGTGAAGAATAGAGAGAAAGAGAAGAAAAATGGAATAAAAAAAGAGCACTTGGCCCACATTGATTCTGCTAATCTATCCTCTCAATAGGTATGTTGTTAAGTGCAATCAAATCAGTTCCAATTTATAGGGTTTTTGAGGAGTGGCTGGTGGGTTTGAACCACTGACCTTGTGGTTCAAGCCAATCTTTCAGTCCAGTGCTTTATCCTACAGTGCCACACCAGGACTCCCTCAGTAGGTAGGGTTGTTGTTGTTAAGTGCCACTGAGTTGGTTCCAACCCATAGAAACCTTGTAAAGGGTTTCCAAGGAGCAACTGGGGAGCAACTGGGGAGCTTGAACTGCTGACCTTGTGGTTCAAACCGACTTTGCAGTCTAGCACATTAACCCACAGCTCCACACCAGGACTCCCTCAATAGGTACGGTAGTTGTGGTTATGTGCTGTGGAGTCGACTCTGACTCATAACAACACCTCGGTAGGGTTTCTGAGGCTGTAAATCTTTATAGGAGCAGAAATCCTCAGCTTTCTCCCACAGAGTAGCTGGTGGATTTAAACAGCTGACCTTGTATACAGATAACCAGGTAGTGCTTGTTCTGTTGTGCATAGGGTCCCTATGAGTCAGAACCTACAGCACCTAACAACAACAGCAGATAACAAAACTACAACACAGACAGATTAGGCAACTAGCACCAGTTAAAATATCAAGGATATGCCAGAACCAGAAATTCAGCCTCCGCTTTCAAAATCTCAACTCTTAACCACTGTGCTGTGGTAACTCTCTCAAAACTCAATGTGCTATGAGAAGAAACCAAATAAGGGCCTAGAAAATGTCCAAACATATACAAACTGCTGAAGATAAAATCTGGTTGACCCTGAAGTATGCAATAAGTGGGTGACTCTCAAAATCCCTCACTATAGAATAACTTTCCTTTGAGAAACCAATGAAGATTTACCCTAGAATTTGTAGTTTACATCCAGGAGACTGCAGAACTTCACACAACTTTTTAATTCCTTCATACCGTAAGGTATTCCGTGTCAGATTTATTTTTATCAGTGTTTGGCTGATGCTAAGAGTTGAGGAGAGATCTTGACAACATAAAGATGTCAAACCACAGCATTCCAACCTGTGGGAAAGACAGACATAAGATAAAAATGACTAACATCCCATGATGAAAAGCAAGCAGACATGAAATCCAGGAGTCTGGGATGGTAACTCTGCAAGCTTAAAACTAAGACACAATTAGGGTACGTTCAAGGAACAGACGCATTTATGATAGTCTTTATCATTAGATATTTATAGGCTGAGTGCGCTGGACTGCAAAGTCAGTACAGGGTCAATGGTTCAAGTTCACCAGCTGCTTCTTGGAAACCCTTTACAGGGTTCATCATGGGTCAGAACCAACTCAACGACACTTAATAACAACAAGTCTGAAAACATGCCTTCCTAATTCATGAGTTCCACATTTATAATTACAGACAGGGAATAGATAAAATACGTAAGACAGACTAGAATGCTCTGAAGCAGATGATCAATGAACTAGATGAATCTACAGCAACAAAGGAAGTTTTTAGTTAGAAAGATGGTACTGAGTGTTGTAAAAGCAAAGTTTATATAATGAGGTCGCTAGGTGTGGCACTGTGGGTTAATGTGCTAGACTGCAAGGATATTTTGAACTGCAAGGTCGGCTGTTTAAGCTCACCAGCCACTCATCAGAGACACTATATAGGGTTGCTATGGGTTGGAACTGACTTGATGGCACTTACCAACAAAAAGCACTAATGCAGTGTCCTGATGTGGCACTGTAGGATAAGCACTGAATTGCTAACTGTAAGGCTGGCAGTTCAAACCCACCCGCCACTCCTCAAAAACCCTATACAGGGTCACTATGAGTCAGAACTGAATTGACAGCATTTAACTACAACCACAGCACCATAGCACTTTGCCATCTATACAAATAAAAATGCATACAAATACATTACACATCTTACAAAAATACTTACAATTCTATGGCATAGTGCAAACACATTAGATCAATTACCTACAGATGGAAAGGAGAATGGTTAATAGA